CTATTCTATTCTATTCTATTCTATTCTATTCTATTCTATTCTATTCTGTTCTGTTCTGTTCTGTTCTGTTCTATTCTATTCCCATTTCCATTTCCATTTCCATTTCCATTTCACATTGAAGTGTTTAAAGAAGCACAGCTCCCCCTAGTGGCCTATGTATATCTTTGCCCATTTTGAGGTATGCTCTTCTCTATGGAAAAGAGACACTACTGCTCCCTCTATTCCAGAAGCGTGTTAGTGATGGAGTTTTTGCAGGCTGCAGCTCACACATCATTTTAGCAGCTGGCAGAGAGATAAAAAAAGAGTCCTCCTTCCCCATCCCACTGCTAGGCTCTGCTGGGTTTCCAGCACTGTCTTGGATCATGCTGAAATGTGCAATCATCCTCCAGGCCAAAAACTCAGCTGCGTTCTGAAACCATTTCTTTAATCGCCTGTTTCACACGTTTCACTTTGTTTCCATTGCTAACCAAGGCCGCGGATCCTCTTGCGGTACAAACACAGCAGGGAGCAGGCCATCTAGCCCAACCCTTCTGAATCTGTCACTTTACTGGACCGGCCTGGCCTCTTGGCTCTGCTCCCAAGCAGACATTCCTGGACTGGCCCCTCTGACAGGCTGGGTCTTTGCAGAGAAATTCTCAAATTAGCTGGTGCTTTCCTAGACATCATGTTCCCAGGGGCTGGCGCTCAGCTCAGGCGGCCACAGCTGTGCAAACAGCTCCACTTGGCTCCGTTGTGCCATTTGGCTGGGGATTTGGTCAGTGCTGGGAGGGGAGCTGGAAGCAAAGCTAAGCTGAAATCTCAGATGCCCCAGTGAGGTGCCGATGGGGTCAACTTCACTTGTTCCATTCGCAGCACCTGCAAACCCTGGCTCATCGCCTGTCAGGTATAGGACATAGGAAGGGATAGCTGCCAAGCAAATTTCTCTGGGATGGGTGCATTGCAAACTGGTGGGAGCAGTTAGGATGGCCTAGTGAAACATGGTCTTCCAGAGAGTATTGGGATTAAAAGTTATCCCTAAATATAATGAGCATCTTTTTTCAGATATATTGTCTGTATTTGGACAACGCGTCTTACCTGGCTTCAAAATTTATAACCCTACATTAACTAAATGGCCTGAGTTCATCAACATACTAAACTATGCACAACCAGGGGTGGGATCCTACCGGTTCGGTCCGGTTCTATAGAACCGGTAGCTCCGAAGAGCAGCTGACACCGAACTAGTTCACTGGGACGAGGTTTTAGTCTGCTGTTTGGCCATCCCGCTTGCCCGGACTCTAGGCTGTCCTTTAGTGGCTGCATTTTCCTCCTTAGTTGCTTTACCCGGCACAGCTGAGTGCCATTCGTCAGCTGGAGAAGGTAAATGCTTGCCGGAGCTGGTAGCGCACATGTGCATGTAGCGCGCATTTGACATGCATGCACACACTCCCCAAACCAGTTATGCTGGTCGGATCCCACCCCTGTACACAACTACAGACAAACCAAGATTACCTGTTGTGTAAATGCAAGTCTTAGAATTTTAAGGTTGAATTTTAATGTGTTCTTAGAAATATTTTATTATATTTCTTTCCCGCTTTGCTTTCAAAGTGAGGATGGGCATTTTTTTCCCCCCATCAAAGACTTTTTCATAGAAGGCATCTTATAACCAACCTGGTGAGCAGGCCTGAAGCAAATACAATAGCAGTCAGTGCCTCAGCCAAAAGTGAATGGGAACCTGTCCTTTTTCTTTCTCAAATTATAACGTCTTGTTTTTATTCCATCCCATTGTTTTTGACATTTGCTTCATTTCTTTCCCAAACAGCAGGCTGTGAAGAAGGAAGTCGTAGGCTTTCCTGAATCAATCTTTGGCAAAGTCTGTAGAGATTTCAAGCAGAATTTTATACGGTTAAGGTGTTGGATGTGGATGGAGAACCAAATTTAAGTCCCCCGATCTGCTATGTAGCTCAAGGGTCAGTCACTCTTTCTCACCCCAATCTACCTCACAAATTGCTGTCTGAGGAGAAAATTAGAGTTTAGGCCAGCTTAAGCTGCCAGGAAAAAATAATAATATAAAAATGCAGCTAATCAATCAAGCAGAACTTTACATTAATCACGGCCCATTTTACCTCTAAAAATTCAAGTTTGCATTTATATCCTTCCCATTTTATCCCCAGAACAAGTCTGTTAGGTGAATAAACCTAAAAAAAAATAGCAACAATGTTCACAGAACACTCTTTCTTTATTGAATTAGCCCATTTTGGGAATTTATTGAATTAATTATTTTTTGGAGTTCAGAAAATACACTGGTACTTGATGTATTCAAGTGTGTGTCAAGTACACAAGGCACTAAACTTCAAAAACCTAAACCATGGTTAGTATTAATCAAACACAATGCACTTCACAAATGCAGCTGTTAGATCTTTAACTGACCTAGCATGTTGTGTGAACATAGTAAGAACATGACTTAAGCATGTTGTGTGAACATAGTAAGAAATCTTAGTCCCCCATTGAACTCCATGGCTAAATGAGAGATTGCAGCCTAGGTCATCCTGTCCTGGTCCAATGGACTGACAATGTCAAATTGAAAGACCAGTTGTGAGATCTAGACTTAAGCATTATTAAGTCAATTGATTCCATTTTTCTGTTTCCAAAAATCCTTAAAAAATAAAATGCCATTATGAATAGAATAGCATGACACACTAGCCCAATATAGTTATTTAGTTTGTGGCTCAATGGCTGAGTTCATACAACATGTTAAATCCTAACCTTGGATTAAAATGATACAACTGCTGCTTGCAGGTACCATTTGAGGCTCATGTAGACAAATCTCATTATGGAAACCACCAAAAAGGGATGGGGTTTCTTGTCCCAACTCATCTTGCCAGTGGTGGGATTCAATTTTTTTTACTATCGGTTCTGTGGGCGTGACTTGGTGGGCGTGGCAGGGGAAGGATACTGTAAAATCTCCCTTCAGAGGTGGTACTTGCCGGTTCTCTGGACTACTCAAAATTTCCGCTACTAGTTCTCCAGAACTGGTCAGAACCTGCTGAATACCACCTCTGCATGTTGCTAATAAAAGAAGAGCAAACACTCCAGAAAACAGGGCTATTTTGGGGGAGCTGCTGAAGCCTGTTTAAGCAGAGAGAAGGTCTTAGAACTGACGCTGCGAGATGTGAAGGAGAGCTTGGAAGCTTTGGTTGCAACTATTCATCCCATCTCCATTCTGGTTGCATCATGTCTAAAATCCACTGGATTGATAGGAAACATGAGAGAAAAGATGTATGTTTACGCCTGAGCAAACCAAAAGAAACAACACACCTCTCAAACTGCTTCCCATCCTGTCTTCAGCTGAGGGAGCCTGTAGCTTGCAAACATCAATAATGATTTGGTGAAAAGTCTCAGACGGGAGCTCTGGGTTACTAATAGAATCTCTAAGGATTGTTTTATTTTATCCTAAAGGCATGTATTGGCTCAAATCTTTATAACTCCAAAGAGACTTGTATAGGGCAAGCATACCATAAAAATTCCATACGATTGGAATGACCTCATGTTCTTCCAGCCCCAGAAATAACTCTCAGCAGCATTCTGTATTATGATGATCTAGGCTTACCAGATGCCTTAGAGAAGAAACATGGTTTGGGGAGAAGAATTTCGCTTAGGGTCCTGATTTACCAGGAAAAGATCTGGAACTGGACAAGCAGAGGTGGGTATTCAGCAGGTTCTGACCAGTTCTGGAGAACCGGTAGTGGAAATTTTGAGTAGTTCGGAGAACCGGCAAATAGCACCTCTGACTGGAGATTTTACAGTTATCCTTCCCCTGGCACGCCCACCAAGCCACGCCCACCAAGCCACGCCCACAGAACTGGTAGTAAAAAAATTTGAATCCCACCACTGTGGACAAGAGCAAAGAAGTTGAACTCCAGCGAAGGGGGCTTATTATCAGACATTTCCCTCCATCTTCCCCATGGAGAGGCTGGGAAAGTAACACGAAAAATGTTAAAAGGTAAACAGACATGAGATGGATACAAGTTCATCAGTTGGTCATTTTATACGTGGCATCTCAGTCCAGGCTGCAAAAAGTCCAGAAAGAAGAAATTCAAAACATTCACATCAATACCTGAATGAATTTATGAATAAACAAAGGCTGGAAATCTCTACCGTTAACTGTGGGATGGAGGCGAGGCAACTCCCATTTGCCCAAAGTTTAGCAAGCAGACTCTTCCCACTGAATGAAAATCCAGCAGAAAGAGCCTCTCCTTGCCAAAGTTTGGGCAAATGGGAGTCGTCTCCCCACCCAATCCCACAGTTAGCAATGGAACAAGAGTTGCGGCTGCTAGATCGGGCTGTGAGTTGTGTTTGGGTGTTACAAAAGGGAAAATCCTAAGGGGAGGAGGAGGTGGGAATGCTGCTTGCTTTGGGGATGCTGCAAGGCAATTCAATGCCACCATTCTTTGCATTTGATGGTGCAGACAATACACCCCCAGGATTTGTCTCAGGCACTTGTCCTAGGACCAGAGGTGTTTACAGGGTGTGAGCAGAAAAGTCAAGATTAGTCACGACAGTGTGGCCAAAGCTGGCTTTTAGGAGTGACACTTCTTTAAAATTTCAAAGCTTTTATGTGCAATGCGCATAGAAAAATGGGCAGAGCTTTGATGACACCTTGCGGACCTCCTGCTTATCACTTTCCAAGATTCTCTAATTCACTCCATTGTTGCATGAGGAAACACCTTATTCAAGTCTGTGTATACCTGTGTCCAGGTATAAGCGGCATAATGGCCGCCCCTCTTGCACATTCCATCTTCTCAACTCCATCTTTCTCACCTACAGTACATGAAAAGGATGGAACAACAGCTTGATATATGTTTATTTCCCCAAAATATGCAGTGGTGATTTCCAGTTGTGTTAGCACTCTGGCTGCTGCTGCTGCTGCTGCTAACCTCTGCCATTCTAGCTACCTCACTATTGTACATGAGATTCCAATGTAAGCAGAGAGATATCAGATGACCCAGCAACCTTTTATGATTTATATAGGAAATGTGAATTCAGGATAGGCATTCATGCTATATGACAGATGTCTTCTGTATTACGTCATGTGAGTTTATTGTTATTTATTACTTTAGTTTATATACTCCCTCCCCACATGTGAGTCAGGGTGCTGTACATAATTAAAATGAAGCAAATATATTCCCCGCCACCATACACACACCCAAGCATACTGTGACAAAGTCTTTCTGAAAAACTAGGAATAATTTTGAAACCTTCTGACTCAGTACATGGTGGAAAAAGTTGGGGACATCTGACTCTTGGGAGGAGTGCTGTTCCATCAGGCATAACATTGCTTGGATGGTGGGCCCATGTTCATGGGAACTCTCTTCGATCTTATTGGATAGGCAGGAGTAATCAGAGATAGGGGTTCTCAGAACCGTGGATCGCACTCAGAACCCACTAGCAATCAATGCAGCTCACAAAACATCACTGTTACATGGGGTATAGTGGTGTACTCACAATTACTTGTGCCATTGTCTTTTGGACTAGCTATAAATTTTAAGTGGCCTTCAAAGGCAATCCCATGCAGTAATCCAGATGAGAAGTGACCAAGGCATGAATGACTATGACTAGGCACCGCCAATCCAGCAATTGGTACAATTGGCACATAAGATTTCTGAAGTATAGTTGCCACTTTGCTCCTCAGATGGAATCTAGGGGGATCCCCAAATTGCACATGAGGTATGTTTAGGACAACGTGACTCTCTCCAGAACCAAAATTGGAAAATCTTAAGGTTCAGGAAGCCTTAAAACCTATAGTCAATCTTGCTAAGGCTGAGCCTGAGCCTTTTCTTCCCCATTTAGAATGCCACATACTATAAATATGGAAACAACCTAAATATGTAAAGCTATTCAACACCACAGACAATACTGCTACCCTTCAAAAAGACCTCGACTATGTATCAGAATGGTCAAACAAATGGCAACTTCAAATCTCAACAAATAAATGCTCTGTCCTACATATTGGCAAAAAAATTCAGAAAATAAAATACTGAATAGTCAAGACCTTGTTGATGATCCAAATTCTGTCAAGGATCTTGGAGTACTCATCTCTAATGATCTAAGTGCTAGAGCCCACTGTAACTACTACATAGCCAAAAAGGCGTTAAGAGTTGTTAACCTAATCTTACGTAGCTTTTTCTCTGGTGATATTACACTAATAATTAAAGCATACAAAACATTTACTAGACCAATACTCAAATACAGCTCATCAGTCTGGAACCCACATTATGTATCTGATATTAACACAGTTGAGAAAGTCCAGAAATATTTCACAAGAAGAATTCTCCACTCCTCTACTCGTTGCAGAATACCTTATGCCACCAGACTCGAAATTCTAGATCTAGAAAACCTAGAACTACGCCGCCTTCGGTCCGATCTAAGTATAGT